AGACCCGAAACCATAAAACTGCTAAAAGAAAGTCTTGGTAATAATGATATTTTGGATTTTGATACCAAAAGCAAACATAAATAAGTGGGACTACATCAAACCAAAAAGCTTTTGTACAGCAAAGGAAACAATTAACATAATGAAAAGCCAATCTCTGAAAAAGAGAAAATATTTGCAAGTTTCATATCTGATAAGAGGTTAATATCTAAAATGAATAAAGAACTCATACAACTCAATAGCAAAAAAAAATATGATGAAAAAAGGGGCAGGGGATCTGAACAGACATTTTTTGAAAGAAGACACACAGATGGACAATAGGTACATGAAAAGGTGCTCAACATCTCTAACCATCAGGGATATACAAATCAAAACTACAATGAGATATCACTTTACACCTGTTAGAATGGCTATTATCAAAAAGACAAAGAATAACAAATGCTGCTGAGGATGTGAAGTAAAGGGGACCCTTATGTACTGTTTGTGGGAATGGAAATTGGTGCAGCCACTCTGGAAAACAGTCTGGAGGTTGCTCAGAAAGTTAATACAACTATCATATGATGCATCAATTCCACTTCTGGGTGTTTATCTCAAGGAAACAAACACACTATCTTAAAAAAATGTATTCACCCCTATGTTCATTGAAGCTATTTATAATAGCCAAGACATGGAAGCAATCTAAGTATCCTTCAATGGATGAATGGATAAAGAAAATGTGATATATATAGTGATAATGGATGATAAAGGATGCTAGAGTAATGGTTTTACTACATATACAGATAACAAATATTGTGTTGTACACTAGAAATTAATTTTATATGTCAATTATATCTCAATTAAAAAAAAAAAGAGTACTCATGCTTTGAAGTCTTGAAATTTTGTCACATCAGACTATCTATCATTATATTAATAGTCCTGAACTGTTGATGAGTATTACAGATACCATCCAAATACTTTCATTATGTTTGCAATAATAGCCAACTACAAGGAAAGATATACTAGCTTTAAAAAGCATTATGTCCTCCTGTTCCCAGTTGCTATAAAGAATAAGGACAGAAAGTAAAAAATTATGGCCATAAATTCATTGGATTGTGAAAAAGGTCAGTGAGGACAAAGTGAACTCATTCAGTTGATATACTGCTAACCACAGCAAATCTTGATATTGCCATATTTCAAGACAATGGTAAGACATGTACTTAAGGAACCCAAATATTGTCATATTCTAAATATAATTATATATTTAGGAATCTATAGTGAGGGAACAATCCAAAAGTAGTAACAACAACAATCATGAAAACTCTGTACCATATTCACTGGTTTGTTTTGTTTTGTTTTGTTTTCTAAGAAAAACAATTGGAAGCAACCTAAACGTCCAGTAATATAAGAATGACTAAGTAATTATAATATTTTCATTGGGTAGAATATTATGGAGCTATTAAAATGGTCATTATAAAGATTATGCAACAACATCAAAAGTAAAGTAGAATCTTAACTGAAAAAAAGATACAGTATTATAGGCACACTATGATTATAACTATGCAAAAGAAAATGAAAAAAGTCCATAGAATTGCAAGTGGTGCTGGTAGGAGTTGCCTTTTGGAACCTCTTATTTTCTTAGAAGTATTCATATCATTTGAGTAATTCAACTTCTGGAAATATACTTTAAGAAAATTATCCAAAATGAGAAAAGAATAAGGTGAGGACTAGGGAGAAGAATTTTTTAATACCTCTCTGCAGCTTTTTTAACTCATAAAGAACTGAAAACAGCCTAGATGTGTCAGAAGAATGAGATGGTCAAATAAATTAGAGTTTATATGTCTGCAGAATGTTATATAGCAATTAAGAATAAAAGAAATTGGGGCTCCTGTGTGGCTCAGTCAGTTGAGCACCCAACTCTTGATTTCAGGTAAGGTCATGATCCCAGGGTTGTGAGATTGAACCCATGTGCTGGGCTTTGCACTGAGTATGGAGCCTGCCTGGGATTCTCTCTCTTTCTCCCTCTGCCCCTCTCCCTTGCTTGAACCCTCTCTCTCTCTCTCTAAAATAAAATTTTAAAAAATGGAAAAAAAATGAGTGAAAGAAATCAGTGACAAAGAAATTCATAAATGTAAAGAAAAGGCAGTATTTATTCTAAAAGCAATATAAAAATAATATTAGCTATATGATTTATAAGTATATATAGATAAAAATATACCAAAAATTTAACAGTATATTTGCTAGAAATACATCAAAAAATTAATAGTAATTAATAGTAGTTATATAAAAGAAAATTATTGATGCTTTTCATCTTTCTTACGTTTTTCTATATTTCCAATTTGTATATGGTAAACTTAGCACTGCTTATTACTTTGATAATCAGAAAAAAATTGTGAAAGCCTAGATAGGAGAAAAATAAAATATCCATTTTGGCACTGTATAAGGGTGGTTGATTAAGGGTTCTGTGCTTGTTTTTCTAGTTGCCACATCTTGGAATATAGTTATGCTAAATTTGTAATTTCAAAAACTATAATATTTAACAAGGTAATCCACGCTACATCTTATTTTCCTTCTTGTAAGACACGATATTAACAACAACACTTTACACTTATGTAAGGATTTGCGAAGTATCTCACTTGTGTTACTTCATTTGATTCTCACACCTGTGTAAAGTAGAAAGTGTTATCATGCTATAGTTGCAAAAATTGACTCAGAGATTAAATGAGGTCCTTCAAGTTTTGTGGCAGATTATTAACAGAACCAGTGTTGGCTCCAGTTGGTTACGCTTCCAAATGCTCTCGCAGTTTCCATGGAATCATTTTCACAATTCTCATCAGGAAGGATAAAGCCCTATGCCACTGCAAAAAAATGCTATAAACAGTTAAGACATTTACTGGAAGAGAGTGACTTTGATTTGCTTTATACCTATTCTCTCCACTGTCCTCACAATGATTAATTTTTTTAGAAGTCAGGCTTTGATGTTTTGGTTAGTACCTTTCCAACACTTTCTCCAATCCCTTGATATTCGCAACTAATTAAGCAGTGATGTAGACTGTGCATGAAGTACTTTTTAATTAGCCACAGTGATTTGCAAATTATTCAGCCTGGGCTTAGGACCCTTAATATTCAAACTGAAAATCTAGTGCATGTAAACTCTTTATTTAAATAGTGACATCTGAGATTAAGCTCAATAAAGGTTTCTATGGAAATGAACTGCAATATCAAAACTTTCCAAAACATTGAAATGACCCAATTAGAAGAGGTAAAAATAAGTGATAGAAAGAGTAGCTATCAATAGAATGGAAGGGTTCATTTCACTTCTGCACATTAATTTTCATAAATGTGTCTGCATATTCATTAGAAGACTATGCAATTCACTTGCTATTCAAGGATCTCAACTAGATAAGAATGATACGTGAAGTAAAAGTTTAGTTGTTCATCAATAACATTGAAGCCAATTTCATAGAAATGCAGACATTAAAACTGAAGAGCAAAGTAAATATACATGAATGCATACACACACAGATAACATAAACACTGCTAAAGAAAAATTAACGATAAAATTCTAGGATTCCCGTAGCAGAAACGATCGATAAAGTTCATGAATTAGTTCCAAATAGAAAAGTTAAATAAGCCTTTGATCTTTCTTAGAACTAAGAACAAAGGGAAATATTTCCTAAGCTTGACTCCAGAATGAAATGCAAACATAAACATGTTTATAAAAGGTTGTAATCACATAAGAAGCTCTTAAAAATAGCTCTGAGCAAAGCAAAATATAAGAACAGTTCATGAATGTGAAATTTTTAAATTTTCTAGTATGAACATTAACCAAGTTCAAACTTTAACCTTGACATTTGCATGCACTATGACAATTGAAAACCCAAAATGGTTTTTAAAACGTACATGGCTACAGAATTCTAACTTTTGTTTTGAAAGCTTAGGTCGCAAGATACTTTCCTGGAAATCCTTATGTAAAGACATCCAAGTAGTAATCTAAATTTTACTAATAGAACACAATGACCAAGTGACATATATAGTTGCAATCCACTAATAGCCATCTCAAACTTAACCCATCCAAAATCTAGTTCCTGATCCTTCTCGCTTTTCCTGTAGTCTTTCCCATCTCAGTCCTGGCAATACCACCTTTAATGCCTGTCCATCATGCTGTGGTATCAACCCAGTATAGACAACTGACTTTGAATGGCACTGTGGTATACCAAAGGTGATCTATTTTTGCCACATTAAGCAATACTGAAAAAAGACAGGGGACATCAATGTCTCTATGCAGTAATGATAGCACTCATGGAAATTACTGTGTTAAGAAATCTGTTAAGAAGTATGGTAAGTTAGTCATGTTAAGTACAGTAGTTCCTGGGGTGGGGGGGGTGCGGGTAGGGGGGAGGGCAGGAAAGGACATCCAGTGGAGTTCACCAAGCCCTGAGGACCTGAAACAATATGCTGCCCTTTTCTGGCATGCCTTCAGTGAGCAGTGCATGGGAATTATCTGTCCCACTGGGAAATGTCACTCCTATTTGCAAATGAGAGTGCAGAGTTTCTGGCCACCTACGTCCACATATACATACATATATGTTCGTGATGTGGCCCTGGATGTCATTATCTCACCTTATCCAGACCTGTATATTGAAGCGAGTCATAAAGAAGAAAAAGGGGTCAAACCAGTGCTGCTTACTTATGTCTGTGGTTAACATTTCCTAAATATGCTTGCAATAAAACCTCTTCCCTCTGGCTTGAATAGTAGGTACCTGAATTCTCAGTTTGCTTTTCCTTGACCTACATTATCTCTTCTTACAACCTGCTCCACCAGAGACCAAAGTTGCCTTTCCAGAACATAGAAACATGAATCCTCAGGGTAATACACACACTCTCCTCATTCTAGCTATTTTATAAATTAAGATGGTAATTTAGTCTTTGGAACTCCAGCCTTGACACCTTCTACTCTCATTCAACAAGTTGCAATGGAGATAGAGTTGTAACTTCTGAGTCAGTATTTTGTGAACACGTATTACCTGTGCAGATTCTTTTAAAGTTGGGATTTTCCAGAATGTGTCCTGGTAGGCGGCACTGGAACCGATGTTGCCAGAACTCAGGGAACCAGGGATTCCTCGTATTAGTGTCCAGCCTCAGCTTCAGGAAATAATCATCAAATGACCTGACCTCTGGAGATTGCAGCTTTATTGTGATTCCCCCGTTGGCTTCCACCTCATAACCTTCAATGACTTCATCTCTGTCTGCCCATCCATCACTAAAAAAATTCAGGGATTGGGGTAGGGAGAGAGAAAGACAAAGGTCTCACAAATAGAGCTCAGCGTTACACGTGAGTGAGGCAATTCAGCAAGGCTGACAGTCTATTTTAAGCCAGAATTGCTACCCATCAATGGCTTTTTTTTTTTTTTTTTTTTTTTTTTTTTTTTGGTGGAGAGTAGTAAATTCTGAAATAATAAAGTCTTGTTTGTTTTTCACAGTAGTGAAAGTGATGATGATAATAATAGTAGCAATGGCAAGAACTAACATTTATTGAGCATTTACTAGTCTTCAGATTCTCTACTATTCACATTTACTGAGTCAGAAGACGTTCAGCAACTAACTGAAGTCCCAGTGGAGCCAGGATATGGATCCAGGCAGTCTGGCTCCCAACCCAGTGCTCTTTAGGCACAAAACCATCAATTGCTGTCCAAATCAGAATAAAATAAAACCCAGGCACTCAGGGCCTTCACAATAAGAGCTCAGCAAGCTTTCAAGGTTTCAACCAAGACCATTATATGAGCTGCATTTATAGGGCAGAAAATTGATTTAGCTCAGAAACATGACAACCACAGATTTGGCTCCTGGACGTTGTTCAAACTTACATTGCCTAGAAGTGATCAGATGCTTCCTCTTCAATGTTTTTTCAAAACAGTAGCATTCAAAGAAAACAATCCCACTCCCCAAAATGAAACTAATCCTCTTGCTCACTAAATGGAAGTTAACTGATGTTTTATCCAGTGGGTTCAAATTTTATTTTAATTTGATCACCTTCTAGAACATTCACATTGGTTATGAGTGATGTAGCTCCAATTTAATTCAAGTATGCACGTGAACCAGGCCAAACCTCATGTGAGTGGCTCTGATTCCTTCCCAAGCAGGTGTCAAAAAAAATTACACCGGATAGAGTTAAACAGGCAAACAAGACTTTATTCAAGTATATTTCAATATGCCAAAGACACTGAACTCCCCTCTGCTGAAACAAAAGTTGGGGAGATTTAAGTGCTGGGAGAAGCTAGTGAATAAGTGCTGGAGGACATTGAGAGGCGCTTGGTCAATGTGATTAGCCATCTGTGTTTTATAATTGTCATTTATCTAAGTTAGGTTTCCACCTTTCCACAGAAACTGGGGAACAGAGGTCTGCTATCACTCTTGATGATTACATTTCAAAGGATGGCTTCCAGGTACCTGAGAAAGAAATTTCTCTGCTGTAAAACTGGCAAGAGTGTAGGAGAAAATGTACACCTCCAAGAGACAAAGAATTTATAATGCTGATTTTTATTTGTTTTATTTTTTCTTTAGAGAGGGAGAGAGAGAACACGTGCATGGGCAGGGACGGAGAGAGAGAGAGAGAGAAAGAGAGAGAGAGAGAATCCTGAGCAGGCTCCATGCTCAGTGCAGAGCCCAAGACACGGGGCTCCATCCCATGACCCTGGGATCATGACCTGAGCTGAAATCAAGAGCTCGATGTTCACCTGACTGAGCCACCCAGGTGTTCCTAACAGCATTTTTTAAATTAAATGCTCGAAGGAAAGGGAAGTCAAGGGGCCCATAGTCAGGAAAAATTTGTCTAAAGCTGAGTCAAACTAAAGAGAATGTTAATTTTCTCCCTTGGTCAAGAGGTGGATTTATTTACACCCACGGAGTCACTCCCTGCAGTTTCTGGAACATAACTTACTGTTCGGTCTCTGACAGAGAAAGTGTTTTATCACTTGCTTCTCACAGAGCAGGGATCCGGGCCAAATATAAAAGACTGACCATCGCTTACCCCTTGTTACCTGAGATCGGTTGGGATAAATGTGTCCTCCACTAAGCTGAGTTCATTGGTGCAGTTCTATTTCAGAATCTTCCCAGTGAACCACACAGGAGCTGTATTTTCAATAGACCAAGGGTTGTAGAAGGTATGGCTGACTTAACATGATCCAGAGCTAAAGAGACCTTGAAGTATAGTGTAGTCTAACCAGCCAGACCAGAGAATGTCTACATGCTTTTTCTAAATCCATTAGGATAGATATTTTACAATTTTGAACAGATCTTTCCTTTCCCTTTCCCCTCCACCTCTCATTTCCTCCCTCCCTCCCTCTCTTCCTTCCTTCCTTCTGCATTTACCTAGATGCTCTCCTATGCTCAAGATTCAATTGAGAATAAGACACACTATCCTCTGCCCCTAGTGTTACAGACTTGTGGGGGAAACAAACATTAAACAAGAATTACAAACACTATAAAGGTAAGGAAGGAAAAGCAACCAGTACTATGAGGAGAAGAGTTTGGGGATTTAACTCAGTCAAGTGTGTACATAGGTATATAAGTGTGGGTGGGGAGAAAGTGATTAAGGATGACTAAGAAAGTTATGTCTGAGCTGAGACCCAAAGGATGTGTGGACATTAGTCAGATGAAAAGATGGAGAGGAATTGGTATAGAAGGTTCCTGGTAGGTTATCTAATACACAGGAAAGAGCATGGCCATTCAAAGAATTTGGAGAGTCCGTATGGCTGGAGCATAGAGGAAAGTGTGGCAGGAAGTATGGGCATAAATCCCAGTTTAGAAGCTGTTAGCCTTAGGACTGCAGGAAGTCCTCAAAGTGTTGTAAGCCTATTACATAATAAGGCCATTGAGCTCTGCTCCCTGGTGGTGAATGACCTGAGTCTTTCTAACAAATCTGGCTTTACTCACCATCACTGGATATGACGGTCAGTCAAACTGATATTAAAAAAGAAGATAGACTCATCTATTTTTCTCTATGCTCAGTTTGCTTAGAAAACTTTGAACTAATTTAATTATTTCAATTTATTCATATTATATCATAACTACGTGTATAGCAATTTGAAGACCTGAACTATGGGGTCAAGGGTAAAAATAAAATCCACCAGACTTTCAAGAAATTCTGCTTATGACTATATATTTAAAATCAAAATGACTTATAAAGAAAAAAGTTACTTTTGACATAAAATTTAAGCTTGAGGTGTGTTACTCCCCAGGATTCCATATTATGTGAGACTTTTCTGTGTGTGTAGATATAGTCTGAACAAGAAACCCACAATTTTTTTAAGTGTATGAAATGAACCTTCTATGCTGTTTATTTTTATTTCTTTTTTTAAAAAAAATCATCCCCGGGGCGCCTGGGTGGCGCAGTCGGTTAAGCGTCCGACTTCAGCCAGGTCAAGATCTCACCGTCTGTGAGTTCGAGCCCCGCGTCGGGCTCTGGGCTGATGGCTCAGAGCCTGGAGCCTGTTTCCGATTCTGTCTCCCTCTCTCTCTGCCCCTCCCCCGTTCATGCTCTGTCTCTCTCTGTCCCAAAAATAAATAAACGTTGAAAAAAAAAAATCATCCCCAGTTTATAAAAGCAAGTATCATGTGTCAGTGCTAAAAGCAGAGAAAGTGTGACCTCCTGTCCTTTTGCCCTCCAACACAGAGGAGCACATCATGGGAGTAAATCATTGTCTATGAATATACACAATTTGAAGTCGTATGTTTTAGTGGGGTAGAGCCTTAGATCCCCCTTGCCTTTGGCTAAAGCCCTTCCCCCTCACTATAGATGACCTCATTCCAAAATTAGAGTTGGGGTCAAATCCAAGAAATCATGAAATCACGGAGAACCAGGATGTGACCGAAAAAAATATTCAGCTAGGATTAGTTGGTGAATACTTTTGAAATGTTAATTGTTAGAGGTTTGTAGGAGATATTAAATCTATCACAGATAAGGCTAGGGAATGCTAACAAAAAGTTGCTGAAAAACATCCGTAAAGCACCTGTTTTTTGTGTTTTTTTTTTTTTTATGTACTTAAATCATCTTGTCTACTTGCCAAATAGTATCCACAGAGAATTTTCAAGAATTTTTGCTGCTTAGTTGTGTTGGGATTTTTTTACAATGATATTGTTTTGGTGGATTCTCCGTGAAGCACACTGGAAAACAGGGAGGCAGCAGCTCTCCTTCAACCTGGTTTGGGGGTTTACTCTTGTCGTTGTTGTTGACAGTGGTGGTGGTAGTGTGGACTCTGTGACCAGAAATGACCTGCAGGCACCTGCTCAGCCCAGGTGTCTGCAGTGACTCCCACTGTGCTGCATGCTGAACTCTACGAGGCATATTCACAGCCTCCAGCAGCTTCTGCTGCCCCATCTGCTTCCTGGTGATGAGCTCCTTTTCCTATCTGGGCTCTGGAAATAAAACTGCATAATGTGGACAAACAGGGCAAACATTTAACAGAAAGCTACAAAATACAAGAATCCTTGTTCCTTATCCCCCTCAATGTTTTTACACAGCAGCTCTTTCACAAGCCTGTTCTCTTACCCAGAATCATTGTTCTAGTCCCTGTGAAATTCCGCAGTCTCAACTCGAAGAATAATATTTATTCCACTGAATAAATTCTGATGGAAACAACAGAAAGGTATCATTTCTAATTCTAGCAATCATAGCTGGGCAGGAGATGTATGAGTGCCACCTTTGCGTTATACAAGTTAAAATCATTTAATAAGAAAATTGATAGTAAAAAACCCAGAAATACAATTGTATTCATTTAAAAATTGTTTAAAAACATTTTATAAAAACATATTTACATTCAATTAAAATAATTACAGTCTAGGGAGTAAAGCGATTTGATCTGTGTGGAGTACAAGTAATTGCATGTACCTAATAATAAAGCTATAATTCTTTAAAAATATTCCAGAGGGGCGCCTGGGTGGCTCAGTCAGTTAAATATCTGACTCTTGATTTCAGCTCAGGTCATGATCTCCCTGTACATGAGTTCGAGCCCTGCATTGGGCTCTGTGTTGACAGGGTGGAGCCTGCTTCAAATTCTCTGCCTCCTTCTCTCTCTGCCCCTCCCCTGCTTTCTTTCTCAAAAATAAACAAATATTTAAAAATATATATGTATTCCAGAGACTAGCATATAACCAAGAAAATTAGAAAGGATAATAAAAATATTTTCAGAAACATATGTAAACAAGCACAAAATTCCATAAATACAATGCTAACCATACTTATAAAGGTTGAAGAAACGTCAT